GTTCACAAATGACCCCATTTTCAGCCCTATAACTGATGTTTATGCTTCGCTGTGTGTTTTAGCGGATTTCCCATATAGGGAATAAGCTATTACTGTACTGCAGTGTATCCACACTCTGGAAAGTCAGGGATAGTCATGGAAAAAAATTATGGTCATTGAAAGTCATGGAAATAGGCAAAAAGTCATGGAAAGTCATGGAAATCCCCAATGATGGATGGATTTCAGGGACCTTTCATTGCTCTAGTCGGCCGTAACCGCGACTATTTTAGCATTTTTCCGAATTTTTCACAAATGTACGAAAATTTCCATTTATACAGTTGTCTTAGTTTATGGGTTTTGAGTTTGTATTAGTTCATTGTTGTACCTATTGTACTCCATTGTTATCTGTTAATACATATTTCAATATTTTCTGTGAAATAACTTGTCTAGGCAGTATTATTCATGTGTGTACGGTATATTATAATTTTGAGTTAAGTTTGTGAGTCATGGAAATCAATGGTTAATGGTCATGGATAGTCATGGAAAGTCAGGGAAATTGATGACAAAATTTCTGTGGACACCCTGTGCAGTACTCATGGTAAGACCTGGACCCGTGACCGATTTACATTTTCATTTTGAGGTCCCTAGAGGCCAAAAACACCATCCATTCAAATTCATATACAGGGTGGGGCAGCATAATTTCTTTTTTTTCAAAACTTAATAAAACGCATTGTATGAGTCAAACAAATTTTATTTGGTTTTTACAATGGAAGTACTTACATAAATTTTGTTTTATGTAGTTTTGAAGAGTAAATCATGTAGGTGACGTCCCCCATTCTTGATACATTGAGTAAACCGATTTCTTGTGTTTGTCATTACCCTTTCAAGCATAGCAGGCATTATGTTGGCAATTTCTTCCTGGATGTTGTTCTTTAAGTCTTGAAGGGTCCTTAGACGGTTAAAATAAACACGGGACTTGAAAACACCCAATAGAAAAAATCGCAATGGGCCGGCCATTGCAAATCACCCCTGATTGAAATAAGGCGTTCTGGAAAGTGTTCCCTCAATATAGCCATCGATGCTCTTGCAGTATGTGCTGTTGCACCATCTTGCTGTAACCAAATGTCCCCAAATCCAACTCATCTAGCCGTGGGAAAAGAAATTCCTGCAACATGTTTACATATCGGACCGAATTCACTTTCGCTGCGACTTAATTTTCCTCAAAGAACCAGGGCCCGATTATTGAAGTTGAGGAAATTGCACACCACATTGACACGTTAGGTGAATGCAAAGGCCTTTCATGCAATTCTCGAGGATTGGTGTCAGCCTAGTAGCGCATATTTTGTTTATTCACAGACCCACACAAATGAAAATGGGCTTCATCACTAAAAAAAATACAATAGCGTCCTCAGGAACGACATCCAGAATAACCTCACATGCGTTACTCCAATTATTGTCACGTTCTGAAAGTTCCTGCATAATCACCATTTTGTATGGATGGAAATGTAGGTTTGTGGAGAATTCTCCTCACAGAACGATTGGAAAGTCCAAGGGCAGATGCATGTTTGCGCGCTGAACGCCTTGATGATCGCAACATTGAAGCTCTCACTACCTCAATGTTTTCAGGTGATCTAATGGGCTGTGGGACTCTAGTTCTTAGTTCTTCGTTTTGTCTAAACTTAGTGACCCAAACAATTGATTTACGGTCCGGAACAGGGGCCAATGGGGCTAAATTAAACCTATTTCCAAAGGCGCGCTGGGTTGCGATCACTTAACATCCACTCAAAAAGTAGGCCTCAACAGCAAATGCAAGCTCTTCAGAGTTCCAACACATAATGGCGACCGAACTATGCAAAGACAAAACTTCATAATAAACCTCTTAAACCGCTGGACAGATTTTAATGAAACTTTCAGTCATTACATTATTCAAGGATGGTTTGTGTGAAGTTTGGAGCAGATCCGTCAAAAGAGCTCCACCCCATAGGGTTTTAAGGGGTCCAATGTCAGACTTGTGGAAGTACAATGTTTACAAATAAATATAATTTAAAAGCAGATGTTTACTTTCACCAACATTTGGTTTGATCAGCACAACATTCTGTATAAGTTATGATTTGGAATAGTGCCACAAAATTTTACAGAATGCAGCACAGAAAATTATTTCACTTTTAGATAAGTCCAAATATATTAAACACTAATCACAGCACACCTGTGCACTGAACAACGTATAAATTCTCCAATGTTAAATATGTAAACATAAAAACCTTTATCAAAGTATTATAAACAATAAAAGGAATGGCAATGCCTTACTATCTTTATCTTTTGTTCGATACCCACACAATCTAACATAAAATATTAAGTTAATAATAATCGTACGTGCTATCTCAGGTATTCAAATGCCTCCCAGTTTGTCATTAGCAACACAATTACCCAACACATCATCCCAACATCACTCCCAACACATTACCAACACATTACTGTCATTAAAAGAAGGAACCCCAATAATCAATCCGCCAAAGCTGTGCAATGTTACTAGACTGACGATTCAAAAAATGACACCAAAATTGATTGAAGCAGTTGATTTATAGTTTAAAAGATAAATAGTCTTAATCCCAAGAATACTGATGATTGCATCCGAATTATCCTCTGAATTTAAGCAACTACAATTTCCTTTGTGTCTTGCTTTCGCAATCACCATCATAAGGCAATCGGGCAATGCATGGCTATCGTCGGGTTAAATTATTTAAAATTCATAGTTTTTCACATGGACAGCTGTATGCTACGTGCTCACCTGGTGGTAGGTACGCCTAAAAACTAATTTTTATTTTTGGTATGCACTTTTGTTATTCTTTGTAAAGAACAAATTACCATTTTTATTGACGTCACATTTCACCCGGGGGATGGTTTTCCGGGGGGGGGGGGGGGGGGGGTATTTTGCACCCACCTTTCTCCCAATGGTAGATTTTACAAACATTTGCAGTCATCAAATGCCTGGTAGTTTAAAACTCTAGTACAAAATTGACAACATTTCCACTGATGATGACAGTATTCAGAATTAGTACTCAACTGAATGTTTGAATAGTTTTAACATTTTCGAGGCTTCCACCACCCAAATTAATTTTAAAGGACAATCCCGTAGTCATACTGATACGAATCTTAAGCACAAAAGGATGAGGGTGAGAGCAATGGACGGACACTCCTGTACAGGGGATAAGAAAAGCTTAGAATCACCGAACTGGTATTTACAAAAGTATTGTGTACTGGCAACTCCTGTCATAAAAATGTTTACCAAAATTGTATTTATTGTATATTAATTATGACGGTTAATAAATGTCATAAACCGTCAAAGGGGTTTTTTTTATTATTCGGTAAAACAGTGTTTTTATCAAATAGAAAAAGAAAACATCACATATATTTTTTCTCACAACATAGCCTTATATTTTTTTAGTTTTATAGTTGTCTTTAACCTAGTTAATGCTTTAACTAACGTTAAAGTGATTTTTTTGTTGAGGTCTAGCTGTTTTACGTTTTCATTCTTTATTCTTTTATTACAAGTTGCAGTTTTCCTTGATTTCTAGAAACGGATTATCTATTTGATATTTGATACTATAAGTCTCCCATGGAAGCACTTCTACTTTTTTTTTGACAACAGATATACCTCTTGAGGAGGAGTTCTTTTGATTTAGTTTTTAAGACTTTTTTTATCGTCAATACTTCCCATTTCTATTATTAGAACCTCATTGAATACTTTAATACACATGAATCAAGGTCCATTTTTTGCTAGGCTGGATGATACTTGGTGTGCCTGTAGATTATTCTCCAGAGTTAGTGTCGTAGAAATGTGTTTTTGTAGTAGGAGAATACGTTGACCAAGTGGGCTGTTGCCAGAAGACTATCCCATATTTCTTGATGCTATGGAAAGAACTAAAATAGACTTTCGTGATTATATGTCTTGGTCAACTAGGTGCTGTAGACAAATCATAAAATGAAACTAAGCTTTGAGTTTTATATCAAATTTTAAACCTGTTTCTGCCATCTAAGGATTTTATGGATGGTAGCGTTGATACTTGATATGGTGCTTTAAGTGTCTTAATTAACAGCCATATCAATTATCTAGGCATCGTTAGTAAAGACCTTGAATTTATAATAATTTACATAAATATTTATAATTTAAAACAATAATGCAGAACGTTTACTGAATACACAGGTCTGCTGTGATAGGGGCAATTATTAAGTAAACTTTGTTAATTAAGTATTGAACAGTTTTCAGATGGATGATCAGTGTGTGGTTGGCTTTAAAGTGGTAATTCTCTTTTAAAGATATGTTTGGAACATACTTTTTGTCCCTATTATTTTTATGGAGATTATTAAATAGTAAAATCAATGTTACTAGTATCAATGTAAAACTGGATCTAGTATCTGATACCAGAATAAAAATAAAAAGTTACAAATTACAGTATGTAACCTACATATCTGTTCTTTGTTAAAAGCCTTGATCAGGTCTAAAGCCATAACAACGTTTAGACAGTGTTTATAATTCAGCAGATTTTATACGTATTTTAATTCACTTCCATCGACTTCAATGGCATTTATGAATCAAATTTAGGATTATTATGATGTTCTGGATCTAGTATTTATTTTTGTAAAGCCTTTAATGCATATTTTAAAGTAAATGAACAACATATTAACGAAAATATTTACAATAAATGTACATATCTAATCAAATTATGGGTGTTTTTCAGAAATTGCAATACACCTTGCCAGATATAATGGAAAGGAACTTCTATTCGGCGAAGTGAAGCTTATTGAGATCATCTCAGATACAATAGTACTTTAAGCAACAGCTAAAAAGGTTATTAATTTTCTATTACACTTAAATACAAATGGAAGTCAGCAATTCACTCTGTAAAATTAAATGTTAAATCATAATTAGTTATGTCCTTAAGTGTAATAATATTGTAAAATAACACATTAACAGATTATTTTAATTTACAATATGAAGTTGTATTTAAGACAAGGAAAAACAATCTCTAAAAAATGTCATAAAATATCTCATATTAATCACAAATTTTGAGGAAGAGAATTTCCTAAGTTTAATTATATACACTTAACATATCCTGAAAAAAGGAAATAGTATGGGTCTATAATACCTATTATTAAGTTCTTATCCTGATTATAGTTAGTTACTTGCTTGTTTGATAAGTTTCACAAAGTCAATAAGTGCAAAGTAAAAAATGTCTAAGATCACTAAAAATCTTCCCCATACGTGTCCAATATGTAGAAACATTTTTTCAGCTAAATGGAAAATGAAAATTCATATATATGGACACACGGGTGAACATCCCTTTAAATGTTTGACATGTGAGAAAACATTTGTTCAACGACGTCAAGTAAAGGATCATTTATTGTCACATTCTGAGAAGCGTCCTTATAAGTGCACTACATGTGGAAAATCCTTCAAAACCAATATCAGTATGAAGAGTCATGCATTGGTTCACACTGGAGGGTGGCGTCATAAGTGTACTGAATGTGAAAGATCCTTTACATGCCCAAGCCATTTGAGGAAACACCAATTTCAAGTTCATTTAGGAGAACGACCTCATAAGTGCACCATATGTGGGAAATCCTTCACAACCAATGGTATATTGAAGCAACATACACTCCTTCACACTGGAGAACAACCTCATAAGTGCACCATATGTGGAAAATCCTTTACAAACAGCAGCAATATGATGAGACATACATTGGCTCACACTGGAGACCGACCTTATAATTGCACTACATGTGGAAAATCCTTCACAACCAAAAGCAGTATGAAAATTCATGCATTGGTTCACACCGGAGGGCAACGTCATAAGTGCACTGTATGCGAAAAACCCTTTCCATTACAAAGCCATTTGAAAAAGCATTTGGAATTTACTCATTTAGGAGAACGACCTCATAAGTGCACCATATGTGAAAAATCTTTCACAACCTACACTGTATTGAAGAATCATACACTCCTTCACACTGGAGAGGGACCTCATAAGTGCACCATATGTGGAAAATCCTTTACAAATAATAGTAATTTGATGAGACATACATCGGTTCACACTGGAGAGCGACCTCATAAGTGCACCATATGTGAAAAATCCTTCACAACCTACACTGTATTGAAGAATCATACACTCCTTCACACTGGAGAGCGACCTCATAAGTGCAGTATATGTGGAAAATCCTTCACAGTCAAAAGGAGTTTGAAAATTCATACATTTTTTCATACTGGAGAGCGACCTCATAATTGCACTATATGTGGAAAATCTTTCACAACCAAAAACAATTTGACGAAACATACATTAATTCACACTAGAGAGTGACCATTTAAGTGCAATACATGTGGAAAATTCTTCACAAGAAGTGGTAATATGAAGAGACACATATGCGTTCACAACGGGGAAGGATAACCTTGCAAGTGCACTATATGTGGAACTACATATGGAAAATCCTTCAAAATCAATTGTGCAATCAAGCAATATAAATTTTGTGGCCTCATAATTAATTGCACTATATGTGGAAAACCTTTCACAAAAATACCATATGGAGAAACATACATTGATTCACACGGGAGAGTGAACTCATAATTGCACTATTTTGTGGAAAATCCTTGACATCAAAAACCATATGGAACAACATACATTGATTCACACCATAGAGTGAACTCATAATTGCAATATTTTGTGGAAAATCCTTGACATCAAAAACCATATGGAACAACATACATTGATTCACACGGGAGAGTGAACTCATAATTGCACTATTTGTGGAAAATCCTTGACATCAAAAACCATATGGAACAACATACATTGATTCACACCGTAGGGTGAACTCATAATTGCAATATTTGTGGAAAATCCTTCACAACAAAATCTATATGGAACAACATACATTGATTCACACCGTAGAGTGTACTCGTAATTGCAATATTTGTGGAAAATCCTTCACAACAAAATCTATATGGAACAACATACATTGATTCACACCGTAGAGTGTACTCATAATTGCAATATTTGTGGAAAATCCTTCACAACAAAAACCATATGGAACAACATACATTGATTCACACCGTAGAGTGTACTCGTAATTGCAATATTTGTGGAAAATCCTTCACAACAAAATCTATATGGAACAACATACATTGATTCACACCGTAGAGTGAACTCATAATTGCAATATTTGTGGAAAATCCTTAACAACAAAAACCAACATTTATTCATACAGTAGAGTGACCTCATAAGTGCACTATAAGGAAAATCCTTCATAGCCAAAAAATATAATAAAGTCACATGCATTTGTTCATACCAGAGAACGTCCGTTAGAAATATAATTGAATGGAAAAAGAAATATACATTGGTTCATGCAGGAGAGCAACCTTGTAAGTCTACTCACAGAGTGGTAAGGAACAGAGGATACACTCCCTGGTACACTTAGGTGGTGTCTAGCACTATAGTCGAATAGATTATAGAATAGGACTGGCCTTTGAAGAAGTAGGGGTTGCGACGTTGCCACGTCGTTCTTGGCTGGTGAGCTGACTTTCACCTAGAGCGGCATCCCCCTTCCTCTTTCTTCCCACTTGTGGGGTAGTTCAGTTCAACACTTCAAATTAGTAATTTATTTGTTCTTGGTGGTAACTTGTATCGGTTAGTATTGTTATATTTTTATATGGTATGGAACACAAAGTTCATCCCATACATTATTATGGTTTGATTATTTGCTACACAATTATCTTTAAAATGGCTCAAACAGCTAACACATGCAGCTTTTTGAAAAATATATAAAAATAAAATTAATAAATATAAATTGAATCAATAAAACACAATAACAGTAAATTTGTATAACCAAACTATTTATATAGCAGTTCTAAAAATCTTCTAAAATATTGCTCAGCTTATTGTTTGATACATGAAACAAAATAAACATGGAAATAAAGAGGATAGAATCTTCCATATTAATTATCCATTTAAAATGGGGAGTCCACCTATGAGCATATTTTAATCTACATACGAGCACAGAAAACATACTACTATAACCCAGAATGCCAACCGCATGTTAAAAAGCATTAAGTGTTTTGAGAGAGCTTTGCCTGTCAATTCGTAGGCAGCGCCACCAGCGTTGCTATGCTGAGTGCATGGCAAAGCTGGTGGCGCCGCCTATGAATTGACAGGCAAAGCTTTCTCAAAACACTTCTCATGCTTTTTACCATGCAGTTGGCATTCTGGGTTATAGTAGTATGTTTTCTGTGATACGAGTGAAGAATGAGTGTAGAATGGAGTGAGATGCCTTGTGTAGCTTTGTTACTGGCCTGTTTCGAATTATAAGCACACTTTAAGGCAATTTCTTGACAAAACAAGAGTATATGCTCAAAACGCACAGGTCGGCTGTCGGGCAAAGACTGAGTGCGTGGCACGTCTTGGCAACAGTGGACAGTTTTCTGAAAGCAGATTGGATGCCGCTAGCTTGCCCTCACCCCACCCGACTCGAACTGGTTTCGGTCCTATTCTGTAATCTATTCGACTATAATACTGGTGTCTAGGCGAAATCCCATCATCACCCCTCTTGTGTACCACAACGCTCACGATGGAGAAAGACCCTGTGCGATAGGAATTTCTACATAGTGCTTGCCGGTCAGAATCAATCCTTAACAACACATATTAAAAACTAAGTTATATATTTTGGTTCAAACTGTAGAGCGATCTCTTAAAAAGTATATATTTACAATGCGGTGTTTATTTATTTGTTATTAATTTAGGGTGTTCTTTCATGATCCGTGGTACAAAGGTTCTTTTATGGCTCCATACTCGTCAAAGTATTTCGGTGATGACTTAAAAAAATGACATTGCTATGAATTTCAATGTCGTAGAATGTTCATCCTACTGCAAGGATTTTTCTGAATTTGCAAGATACCACATTCTTGATTGGTTTTAAAAGTTTTAAAATCATTACCAAACTTACATAAATTTTATTTAGTTGGTGAAATGACTAAAATTGGCACTACAGTTTAAACATTTTTTTACAATTAGAATTAGGCTATGATGGTGCACAAAAACATAGCAGTAATAATCACGTAAATTCAAACATTGCAAAGATACAAATCTCCATTGTTCATTCCGTGTTTTTATAAAATACTTAGTTGTATCTAGGACTGATTATTTATTTCGATAATTATTCTATAATTTGTTATATATATATTACAACTGACTACTTTAATGTAATGTTAGAGTACATTCCTGTATTATTATCCTAAGTGTGTGCTGCCTTGGTCCATAAAAGCCAGTAATGTTTAGTTTTTTTTGTACATTTTTCCATTTTGTGTAAATTAGAATAAATATATTATTTTTGGGTGTTAAGAATTGTTCATACAGTAGACTCCCTCTTATCCAGACACCTTTTAACTGGACATCGGTTTAACCGGACTAAAATCTGCGGAAATGACGTCTCTTTAATCGGACTATTTTAATCAGCTTATATGTTTAACCAGACTAGATTGGCAGGAAGTTGGCGGTACTAAAAAGGACTGTTCTCTTGGGAAAGATTTGAGACCTGTGATCATGGGTCTAAATACAATGCTCTCCTAAATTAAAGTCAAATATGTATACAGCATGCATTTAATTGGTCTGTTTTAACGAGTTTTTGGGAACGTTGGTTTAACCGGAAAAACCGTTATCCAGACTGGCTTTGGTCCAGAGGAGTTTGGATATGAAGGAGTCTACTGTACACTTAAAACAAGACATTGATTACATTTGTCACATAAACTATTTAATATATTAGTTTAAGTTTTTTTATATGTTAATAAAATATGTTTGGTGACAATTAAAAAGTTAACTGCTTTGGTGTTTGATTTCATTCAGGTACTAGAAATAAAACCTAAAACTGCAAATGATACTCTCTCATCTTAACCCCACACCATTTACCTATTTTTTCTTCAATGGAAAATGAATGCTTAACTCAACAAACATAGGAATTAATAAGGACTTATTACTTAAAGACAGAGTTGACAATAGGCCTACCATTTAGGATGTTCGTTTTTGAGTTTTTTTTTCTGTACATTTATAAGTATGTTTTTTTTATAGCTCCCTGGTTCACAAATGACACCATTTGTCAGTAAAAAAAAACAACCTTATACAAACAACTTTTTGTTATTTAATAGATTACGTATTCTCTAATTCTCTAAACAATGATTGGTATATCAATTAACATTAGAAAGAAATGTGACAAAAATCACACAATGTTGGGTTTTTGGACGTTTGTAAATTTATTTCTTAAGTAGGTAGACCATCTAGGGAAAAGTACCGGTATCAAGGATCGTCGTCGAAAAGGTTGTCAAGAGGCTTATTGGCTGTATGGTCCAGCGATTGCATCACACGGTGAGTAGGAACTATTGACTTTAGTCAATGGTAGGAACAGAAAGTGACACATTGGAAAACCGAGTTTAGCATCATCAATGAGTGGAAACCTTGTTTGTAAGCTATTGGCAACGATCGCATCATTAAAAAATTTAAGTTTCCCAGCCCTATACAACACTGATTCAAGGTCTTCTTTCTGGTTATCTAAACTCAAAAACAATTTTATACACAAAGAATCTCTGGTCCCGACCTGGATGATGCCTAGTTATTTAATTTCATTTACGGTTACACTATCACTTGGTTGGGATTTGCTTTCATCGAAAATGGTTGCGGTATTTGTAAACAAAATTTGTAAATATATCAGTGACAGCTAGAAAAAATAATCTTGATCCGAACAGCTGTTCGTTATTTCATAGATGATTATGTGATACCGGTACATTAAAGAAGCATAAACGAGTCTTATCTCTATTTCTGTCTGTCTGTCTGTAACACTCAAGATGGCATTTTACGCAATCTTCTCCGGGAAAACGAGAGTACCTATCAAGATCCAAGTCATTTTAATGTATTCACTGGTTTAGCGAGAGTGTCTTTAGTGATTAAAATAAGGCCTCACTACTTTGTAAATAAAATTACGGACGTTCAAAAATGCAGTTTTGCACGATTTTTGTCAAATTTTCGTTAAATTTTTATCACTTAATCGTCTATGAAATAACGAACAGCTGTTCGGATCAAGATTATTTTTCTAGCTGTCACTGATATGTTTACAAATAAATGTTGTTTACAAATACCGCAACCATTTCGAATCACGTTTTGAAAGCAAATCCCAACCAAGTGAGATTAAAAACGTTTTTCTTACATAACGGATTCAATTAATCGCAAGTGCAATATCATAGTGTAACCGTAAATGAAATTAAATAACTAGGCATCATCCAGATCAGGAACCAGAAATTCCTTGTGTATAAAATTGTTCTTGAGTTTTGATATCCAGAAAAAAGACCTTGAGTCAGTGTTGTATATGGCTGGGACTCTTAATGATCGTCGCCAATAGCTTACAAACAAGGTTTCCACTCATTGACGGCGCTTCAATGGCGATTGTGTAAAGTGTAAAGTAAAAAAATCACAGCTGCAGTGGGTGATTGTAACAGAGGTTTACGGATGATGCTAAACTCGCTTTTCCAATGTGTCACTTTCTGTTTCTACTCACCGTGTAATGCAATCGCTGGACCGTACAGCCAATAGGGCCATAGCCCATCTCTTGGGTACGTACGCCTACCTATTTATTCATCCAAACACCTTTTCGGCGACGATCCTTGATACCAGTACTTTTCCATAGAATACATGGCCTACCTACTTAAGAAATAAAATTACAAATGTCCAAAAACCCAACATTGTGTGATTTTTGTCACATTCAACTGACTACTATTAGATCCCCGTACGTAGAACGGGCACACAGCTAGTACCAAATTAATCACTTAAGTGAAAGAAATGAAATACAAGACTTCAGAGATAAAACAAAAAATAAATATGCCATCATTGACTTACAAACTGGAGAACATCTAACAAATCAAGAAGTTATAAAGCACCATTAGTTTGGCTTCGACGGAACCCGATTAATTGAGCTTAAAGTAGATGAAAATGGTAAATACACAATTGCTCCAAATAACATCACCTTAAACTCCAAGATACTTATATTAGATTACACTCTACTGTTAAATGACATGCGTCTCTTCAACAGCATCAAAAAAATTCAAATTGACAGTATAGGTGTGGAAAAACTACCTAAATTCTTAACAACTACAAACATGGTGACCTCATTCTCTTCCCAACAAGAGACTCTGTCCAAGATTTTAGAAAGAGGTTTAGAAACAAATATCCTAACATCAAGAACACAAAAATTAATGATACGTTCCGAACGGTCCACTCATTTATAATAAACTCATAAAACACATAAAAAAAACACATAAAACAAGGAGAAATATGAGAGGCTTGTAGAAGATGAAGCCCTTATGATGCATGCAGGAGAGATACTCTTTGCGGCTGTGCTAGTGGGAGTAAAAGAAACTATGCTTGTTGGGGACGTAAACCAAATCCCATACAGAACAGAATCCCTTGAAGTTAAGTTCCACAACATAACTGAAATACCAACTTTTGTTGTTGTTAGACAACAGATTAGTAAGGCCTCTTGAGAAGGAGTTCTTTTGATTTAGTTTTTAATACTTTTTCATCTTCAATACTTCTCATTTCTATTATTAGAACCTCATTGAATACTTTGATACACTTGAATCAAGGTCCATTTTTTGCTAGGCTGGATGATACTTATGGTGCCTGTAGATTATTCTCCAGAGTGAGTGTCGTAG